GCAACTCTGTCTCCATCTGAGCAGCGCCTCGTTTGACAGATGGCTTTGACTCTAGGAAGCCTGGCGGCTTCTGATTCTGTCAACCTGGAAAGAGAAACCCAGGAATGTGGGCCTTCGATGATAATTGCCCACCTTTCCCATAAAACAAACAAGAATGCACACTAGAACACTACCAAATGCCCAAACAATGAAGACTGGCCCAGCTTGTTTTCCACTCTCCTTGTGTTTTATTAGCACAGTGCTGAATGGGGCTTTGCGCACTTCTTGAGCACATCCGGGGAAATACAACTGCCTCTTGGAATGTGAAAAAGGACCCAGAGCAGACACGTAGTCATCTACACGAGCCATTCAAATAGCCACCCGAAAAGCGAATGCTGATCCCTTTGAAAGAACAAAAAACCTTGACGAGAAAGGAAAGACCCTTTCAGGAAAAGATCCAAACAAATTCAGAAAGTGCTAAGCAGATACTGAAAAGGCCTAATGGTCAGCATTTTTTTGAGGGTCCATCATTCTGTTCACTTTTTATTTATTATTTTGCTCATGTATTTTACCCCATGGATTCTGCCTAACAACTTGGTAAGATGGATTACTTCCCCACTCCTCCTTAACAAGTTGTCACAACATGGCAGCTTAAACATCAATATTCCTCACCAGCTCACAGTTCTACAGATCACAAGTCTAGGCACAACCGGAACCCCTAAAACTAAGCAGGTACCACATGGAGGCAATGGAAAAGGGCAATCATGACCAGTATCTTCTCTACTGTATTATATATAATTTCAAAAGATATTATTGTAAAGATTCCTAAAATAGAGTTGTAAATGTTTATTTTTAATGTGGCAAGATTACATTTTTTAAAAACTAAATTATACCTTTCTTGGTATGTGATTTTTATTTTGCTTGTGTTCATTACACCATTTTATTTCTTACTCTGAAAAGCTGTTTTGCTACAAGTCCATTTCTTTTTAACTTTTATCCACAGGGAAGTCATAATCCCTTACTTAAATAGAAGCCGGTAACCATGGAAATCATTCTAATGCCACTGAATCAATATTTTGACTTTGCTGACATTTAAGGTAAAAAGAAAAGACAGACTAAGATTTGTAAAAGCCACTTTTTATCTTTGTTATAATTTTGATAGCCAGAAAAATTGTAAAGAAAACATATGCTCTGTAATGAACTCCAGTTAACTCATGATTATAAAGAACTAAGAATTCATAAAAGAACAATCTACATATTTATATAATTTTGGCTTTGAGTACACACATATGAATGCATCCATTTGGACTCAAGACTTTTTCGCATCTCTGAACTGAGCCTTAATTTCTGTTGTTACAAAAGTCATGACTTGAAAGAAGAGATTGAACGTATCCAGTTTTGCAATTTCCTTCTTATTAAGTGTTCTGAAGAGAAGGTGAAATTTGCATTGATAATCACTCTTCAATAGAAATAGACCTTTTCTGCACCAGATTCTAACAGTCCCTCTGGTCCACTGAGTATCCTTAAAGACACAGTACAGTTGAAGGCTCTTCAGCCCATGTTTAGAGCTCTGTTTGAAGACAGTTGTTGAAGTTGGGCCTAGCATTTAATAAACCTCACTGCCCACCCAGTAGTTTTCTAAGTCTAACTTACTGGTAAGTCTTTGCTGCTGCTGTCATTGTGTCCTCTGAAGAAATGAGGGTAATGGAGCCTCTGTTCTGTTTGATAACTAGTTATTTGGAACCCTTAGATGCTGAAGGGATCTGAAAGACTTAGGAGCTTCTCTATCTCAGGAATTATTTACCGGAGTGCATCCCAAATGAATGGTAATCAGCTCTATTTTTTAAGACAATTGAATCGGGACTCAAATGTTTCTTCTAGGGGAAAATCATTATGACTCTCAGCTTGTTTTTACTATGAATACCCTGCCCTGAGGGGTCTATTCTGAAGTGTATATTTGACACTGCTTCCAGGAATGTTTCTGGAGCTTATACTGCTTGATAACAGCTCTTTACTGGCTGTTTTCCTTGTCTGTTTCATCTCTTCACTCCCCTTTGGCTGACTTTTTATTCCGCTTTTATTCTTGAACTAGAGGCCCGGTGCACAAAAATTTGT